CGGCCACCGCAGCCTCGACCTGCTGGGCTCCAGCGATCCTTCTGCCTCAGCCTTCCAAATAGCCGAAATTACAGGCATGTGCTACCACGCCCGGCTAATTTTTTGATTTGTTGTAGAGATGAGGTCTCAGCAATCCACTCGCCTCAGCCTTCCAAATAGCCGAAATTACAGGCATGTGCTACCACGCCCGGCTAATTTTTTGATTTGTTGTAGAGATGAGGTCTCAGCAATCCACTCACCTCGGCCTCCCAAAGGCACGGGATTACAGGCTGAGCCACTGAGCCCGGCTAGTCAGAACTTTTATAGTCTCCACAAAACAGATACCACCACCAAGGATCAGAGAAGCTAGGAGGTCTGCCCCAGGTTGAGGTGGGAGGATTGCTTCAGCCCAAGAGTTCAGGACCAGCCTAAGCAACTTAACAAGATCTTGTTGCTACAAAAAATAAAAACAAATTTAAAAATTAGCCAGGCGTGCTGGTGCATGCCTGTAGTCCCAGCTATTAGGGAGACTGAGGCAGAAGGAATCCCTGAGCCCAGAAAGGTGAGGTTGCGGTGAGCCTTGATAGTGCCACTGCACTCCAGCCTGGGTGACAGAGTGAAACCTGACTCAAAATAAAAAAATAAAAGATGGGAAACCCGCCGGGCTTGGTGGCTCAGTCTGTAATCCCATGCCTTGGGAGGCTGAGGTGAGTGAATTGCCTGAGCCCGCGGGTTCGAGACCTGCCTGGGCAACTTGGCGAGACTTCATCTCTACAATAAATCAAAAATCAGCCAGGCATGGTAGCGCGTGTCTGTAGTTCCGGCTACTTGGAAGGCTGAGGCGGAAGGATCGCCGGAATCCAGCGGCTCGATGTTGCAGTGGCCAGGAGTGGCCACAGCACTCCAGTATGGGCGACAGAGTGAGACTCCAACTCAAAAAAAATAAATGGGAAACCCTCTCCTCTGTTCCCACAAACCCTCTGGACTACCAGACTTCCCAGATGTCACCCCTAGCCACATACCTTTGGCCCCACTCCTGCCTGGGGTCCCAGAATCTGAGGGGCTCCGCCCCCAGGTAAGAATGTCTGGAGTTGGTAAGGTATGGGTAAGTCTGGAGTTCTTTGTACTTCACCACTCCTACACCCCAATCTCAGAGCCCTTTCAAGCCACCTGGACTCCTCACCTTGATCTCCGCCAGCTTCATTCCCCGGCTACAGTCCCACACTGACAGCATGTGCTCATTGGAATCATCCACCACACAAAGAAAAGCGCCCTGATCCTGAAGATGGGGGAAACATGGGAGGGACTGGGTGAGCCCTGGAGGTCTGGGGCTTCGTGGTCATTAGGCAGGGGTACCATCACAGGTAGAGAGGGCAGAAGTTGACACATGTCCCTTTCTCTGGAGAACCAGCTGGGTGGGGTTCAGGAAGCTGGAACTTTCAAGGCTTCCTGGTGAAGAGCTAGAGTCGGGTTCCCGGGCAAGAATAGGGGTCTAGAGGCTTTGGGGCCAGCTCACCACAGCTGAAAAGGCCAGGGCCCCCACACCCCGCTCGAAGGCCCCCAGTCCAATCTCCTGCTGCTTCTGCAGTGTCTCTGAGTCCCAGACGTGAACCACAGGTTGCAGGGGCTGGTGGAGGAGAAGGGGTCAGGGGTGTGAAGCAGAGCTGGGCTGCAGTTGCATCATGTCTGCCTGCTGTGTGACTTTGGCCTTACCTTTCCATCCTTATCCACTCCAGCTGTCTGTCCTGAGGCTACCCGAACACCATCAGGGTGAACAGCAAGGCTACATGGGGAAGGAGACACTCTAGGAAAGGGGGTCTCTCAAGACCACCCAAGACACCTTCTCCATGCTTGGAGAGCAGCCGGCAACACTCCTGCTCCTCCACAACGCCCCCTCACCCTCTTCCAGCCATCCCCAGGCCCCTCACCATCGAACGCAGTCTGTGTGTCCCCGGTAATGTCTCTGGCCACCACCTCCAGGGCCCCCTGGGCCTCCTCCGGGCCGGTACAGCACCACCACACAGGCGATAAAGTAGACTACCTCCCCAGAGCGCAGCACAAACAGATTAGAGCGGGAGTCACGACCCCTATACCCATAACTGGGGTGGGGATCAGGGTCAAGGAAAGGGTCAGATCAAGGGCAGGATGAGGAAGAGGTGAGAAAGACAGAGCTTCTAGCTGGCAGTGCCATCGGCAGGAGCATGGCAGAAGAGGATTCAGAAGGCTCCCTCTCCCCTAGACCCAGGAGGAAACTGTCAAGGAAAGAGAGATCCCAAGGTGGTTCCCATGGGACTGGGGACAGGATACACCCAGTCAAGGCTGAGGGTCTCCGGGGGTGGGCCGCTGGGCAGCTCTTCAAGGCTACGGATGCCAGATGGTATGTACATGGTAATGGGGCGGCCACGAAGGAACATCTTCACTGAGATGCCCTCTATAGAGAAAAGGGGAAGTGTCAACCAACACTCTGCAGACCCCCTTCCAGGAAAGCCAGAGCAGAATTCCACCTACCACACAGGTCCCCCAGCATAGCTCTTCGGGCTGTAGCCTAAACCCTTACTCCATCACCCAAGTGTTTCCCTCTGTACATACCCAAATTGTAATTGCTCCTCCGAGATCCAGGGCCCCCAGGACTAGAGAGGGGGTCTTTCCCCCCACGGCTGTTGGGAAGAGAGAAAAAGCACAGGGATTAGGATCAGGTCCCAAGAGCTGAGCAGGGAGGGGCAGGACACAAGAAAGTTTACTCCAGAGACCACAGTCACCTCTGTAGGCTTGTAGTTTGCATCGTGAGCACTGGGGCCCTAGAGTAGATGGGGACTTTTAGTTCCATTTAAGAGATGAGAAGACGGAGGCTGAAGGAGTTGAGCGAATGGCACAAGGCCACAAAGCTTGGAAGAGGCAGTGCAGGGTGCCAGAGCCCTTTCTTCCCTCCAGACCACCAGGCCTCTGGCTATCGACATTTTCATTTCCCCATCTGTAAAATGGGACCAAAGAAAATCCAGAATGTACGCCAGGCCTGCCTTTCAGGGATATGGGAAGTAAGCAAGAAAGTCTGTATCTTTCAAGAGGAAAGTGACAGATGAATTCCAGACATCACTGATACTAGATGATAATAAGGTGTATGATACTGCCTCCAGAGAATAAAGTAGAGGCAAAGACAGGGCTAGAATGAACATTCAGGTATCTAGAGGCCTACACACACACTGAGACAACTACGTTCAACCACATGGACATCCCCTTGCCCTCTAGAAGTAAGCAGGTCAGTACTTGGTAGATCTAGGGTGAGGGAGGGCTCTGAGGACGGCCATCCATGAGAGCTTCTGGAAAAGCCTCTTCAGATCTCAGAAGGTGTGATAGAGCAGGGAAACTGGAGTCAGGAAGATTTGGGTTCAAATCTTGACTTTAGTTGTGTGACCCCCGGAAAATGACTTACCCTCTCTGAGCCTGCTTCCTCACCTGTGCAATGAACAGCATGAGACCACCTACACCCCCAAGGATGTGAGGACTGACTGAGATGAAGGAGGTCGAGGGTTTAGCACAGTGCCTGGTATACAGCAGGCACCCCAGGAGTGCTGTTCCTTTCTTCCTATGGGACTATGAAGCACCCCCAACCCTGCCCGGGGAAGTGAGGCGAGGGGTGTGGAAAGTCAAGAGACTGAGTCTGGGGTGGGGTGGATTGAGGGGGAGCCTCACCCACCTCTCTGTGCTCCCTGACCGCAATAACAGGTTGGCCGAGGAAGCTGCCTTCCTGGAGAGCTTCTGCCGTGGCCGTTCTGAGGGGGACGAGGAGGAGGAATTTCTCCGTGGCCTGATGGGGGCAGAGTGAGCAGGTGAAGGTCATTCTTCCCAATCCTGCTCCCCAGTCCTCACCCCTCCCAGCCTCTGCCACAAGACACCTACGTGTCAATGTGCTGTGGGGGCTGTACAGGCCTGAGGATTCCCGGGGGGCCAGGGGAGCCCGTGCCACTACTGCTGCTGCCCCCTCCTTCAGACTGGGTCCCACTAGGCTCTTCACTGCCCCGCTGAGGGGCTGGGGGCCCGTTGCTCAGGCCAGGAGGTCCAGGGGATGACTCAATTTCCACCTCTGTCTCTGTCTGGGTGCCTCGGCTCACCAAGGTGGGACTGCACGTGAGTGGCAGTCCTGGGGGAACTGTCGAACTGCAGGAGAGACAGTGAATTAACCTGAAGTCCCAGAGGACCCAGGAATGAGGAAAAGGGGGTATGCCGACATGCATACCTGTCCCCTGTGGGAGCTGGTGCTCCAGAGCCCAGCAAGGGGGTGCAGGGTGCCTGCAGTCGCAGCAGGCGGAGGGCTTCAGCCAGGGCTGCCTTTACCAGCTCCATCTCCTCCTCCTGCACCCGAAGCCGCTGGCTCAAGGACTGCAGGGCCTCCTGAGCAGGGCCCTGACCTAGGAAAGGGGCAAGAACCCTCAGGATGTACCCAGAGAAAGGGCTGCGGGGGTGCCCCCCCAACTTTACATTTGTACAATAGGACTGCCCCTTTTTATTAAGCAGCCCCAGGCTGGGAGCTCATCCAGAGCAGAAGAGGCGGTGTTGGAGGATCAAGGGCCTCCTTCTGGCAGGGCAGGAGAGGAACCTGGCAAAGCTCCCTCCCTGCTGCTGTCTCAGCCTCCGCAAAGATTGGGAGTAGCATGGAGTACCGGGGAAAATATAGAGTACTGCCGAGAAACGTGGGAGCCACAGAGAGAGGAGCGGTACTGGTGAGGGGAGGG